ACCCTTGGGACTTTAAAAGAACTTTACTGAACTTTCTTTACTAAATAAGACACCAATTTCTGTTCAGGAAAGTCTGTAGTTCTCAGAACTATGTGTAGTAGTAAATGTCAAAATTGAACCATGTGAACAGTTTTCCTGCACCACCCATATTCGGGAGCTCTGCACAGTTAAATCAGATGTCACTGATCACAGAAATCACCCAATTCAGATAGACTCCATCCCTCCAGGACTGAAGGTGGTCATCTTGTGCTGCAGCTTGTTTGACTTGTTTTCGCAGGATTTGCTCTTGTCTTGTCTGGTTTCTTCAAAATCTTGATTTACCAAAACTTGCTCAATGGTGCCATCCAGGGGTTAAATTGAACGGGAGCTCAATGGAGATTAGCTCCCCCATCTTCAGTTTATGTGAAAGCAAGCTGGGTTGAACTCTGGTGCATGATAATTTGATGAAAATAGACTATAGCATGGCATTATGGTGATAATAATGATGATATAATACAGTTTCACACTGAAGTTCATTTGACATTACTTTCCATGGTTTGAGGTGCTGGTTTTGCACCAGATGATTGCTCAAGTCTTTCTAAGCTTCCTATTTAATGTTATCTACATTAGGATTGTAGCACTAGTGCACAACTAAAGAAGCAAACTTCAGACACCAAACATGCGTTGGCTGATTGACTATATTTAGGAGAACATTGTGTATGTTTTGGATTTTGGCTGACCTGCTCCATTAACTATAGTCAGCTGTTAAATAAAAAGTGTCAGTGTATGCTGTAGTGACCTTCCGATATGAATAATCTCTCTAGTGCAGCAAGCAGTAATGATTTAAAGTCTTTTGTTTGCTCGTTTGTTTTGACAACGTAAAATTATTCTTTTTCCAGACAAGGAATGTGCTTCCTGCAAAACCACAAAAACCGAAAGGAGAGAAAGTTAAAGAAATTCTCGCAGAAATGAAGGAAAGGAAAACAATAAGTGAAGTCCCTTTGGGTAAGCTTCAGTATTTCTTCAGTATCTGTAGTTTTCCTGAAGAATCGGATTACTTTTAAACTCCCGTTGCCAGTTAATTGTTTTGTTTGCAGGTTGGGGTTTAGGCATTTTGCATACATTAGATTGAATATAACTATTTATACCACAGTATTGTTGAATTCTTAATTTTGTTTGGTCAGATGGTGTTGACTAATTTTCTATAACAGCAGCAATTGCACAAGTATTGGGCATAGTCAATACAACAATTTGAAATGTCCTGTAAAAGATAGAAAGCACTGGTGTACTAGACATAGAGCAGGTCAACCAAGGAAAACAACAGCAGTTGATGAAAGAAATGACATTGTGAGAGCTGTGAAGACCCAAAAACCCAAAAACAACAGTCCGTGACATCACCAACTACCTCCACAGGGCAGAGGTGAAGGTATGCATTTCACCTCCTGAAGAGGAGACTGAAGGGAGAACGCCCAACAAACAACAAGCTTATTCTAAAATGAATACAAATTTTAATTGCTGGCAAATTGCGTTGTAACGCACAATTTGCGCTGCTGGCAAATTGTGGTATAAGCAGAATAAAACACTTCTGGATGTACTGTCATAGGAAAATAATCAACTTTAGTGTGGTAAAAGTAACTCAACTTCACATCGGGTCGTGTCACCAACAATCGTTGATTGTTTTTCTATAACAGCATGTCCCCAAGTTTTTTATTCTTTACTTATTGGTGGTTCTTGCAGTCATATTTCCATTTCTGACTTACGGAATTTCAACGTAAAGCTGCCACTTCTGTTCTGAAACCCACTGTAAGGGAGAAATGATCTTCTATCTATAATTATCTGTCCTGCTCTGTTCATCATAGTTCTTCAGCAAAGCTCTTTCATCTCTGTTCTAATCACTGGAGTGCATTTATAGGCATGGCGCCTGATCTGACTAAAAAAAATAAACATGTCTTCTTACTTTGTGTTTTGAATGTTAAGTGTATAACCTCTGTTAGCTAATGTTTGTTGCATCAAGGAGAAGTGTTATGACTTGATCTGTCTCCAGCTTAATCAGAAAACAACTGAAAGAAACTGTAGTAGAAGCCTGGAAAATCATCCCAATAGAAGAACGCAACAGTTTGGTGATTTCAGTAGGTTGCCAGCATGACGCAGTTATTGCAAGCATAGGATGTGCAACCAAATATTAAGTCCTAGTCTTAAAGTAAATTACGGTAAATATCTGTTCCAGTATTTTTGCTCACATAAAAATGGGGTGGTCTGACAAGAAAGGTGCCATGTTCTAAGTTGTTTAACACATCTAGATGTAAATCTCAAGAAATGAAAGCTGAATTTATTGATATATTATAATATATTTATCTTTCGATCTCAAACCCAAATGTCTTCAGTGCATAGTAAATTGGCCTTGCCGTTCCAGTACTATCTGAGGGGACTGTAATTTGTTGAGTCAGAACATTTATGCTCCACGTTGTTGAATATTTATCTTGTTGCACCATCGGGCCTGGTCAGTTAAGGTTACACAAATGTAATCATGGCAGATCCGGAGACTGAACACGATTCAATAATAAATATGCTTGAGTCAGAGATGATCTGTTGAAACTCTTGAGAAATAGGTTTACTGGAAAGTGCTCTGTTTGGCATTGCAGCTGTTCTTTTATTATCTCATCACTTATCAGAGCAGTCAGTGTATGATGGACTAAGCTGGATTCATGGTGCACAGTTGTTATTACTATTTTGCTACGCTGAGAGCATTAGACATGTTGGACATCAGTACTTACAAGAAAACAAGAGAACAGTTATGACAAAGTTGTTGATTTTGTTGAGTTTAGACCCTATTTTATATAAAGTCGTGTGATCATATACAGAATTTATATTTGTTATTTATTATTCTTGTCCATTTCTTTACACAGAGAAAGTTCTTCAAGGCAAAGATATATACAAGAATGAATATGAAAAGGCACTGATACTATTGAAAGATATGAAGAGCAAGTACAAGATGATCCACTTAAAATCAGTGGAGCAAGCAGCACAACTTGAGAGCAACTGCTGTTAAAAGGAACAATGGGGGACAAATCTACTAAAATAAATTACAAGTTTAATCAGGGATCCGTAAAAAACCATTTCTTTGCCCTTTATGTGTATTTTGTTGGTCCAACAACTTCTTTTTTTTTCAAATTCATTTATACCACAGCGCTGTTGAATTCTTGATCTGGTAGATACACCTTGGTATGACAAGGTGCTGATTAATTTTCTGTACGCAGTTCTGACAATAGAGACAGAGGCAAAGCAAATAGTTTCCTCTTAATGTGCTCTTTCTTATACATTATCTTGTCTGTAATAATACCTACACATGGACTTGTATGGCAGATACTCCACATAAACAATAAAAAAAATGTGTGTAGTTGTTGATACTGTGATGTTTTCTGTGAGGAGACATTTATTTAACAGTTTTGGGAGGTCTCTAGTGTCTAGGTGTAAAGCTGTAGCTTTACGTTTAACTCCATGGAAAAGTAACTTTAAGTTTTCTGACTCAGAATATACTTCAAAGCAGGCTGCTTTTCATTTTGTGGTTTGTTGATAACATGACAAGCTGCTTTTTTTTTGTCTAATTAACTTCAAGAGAGAAGGAAAAAGGCCCTGGTGACAGAAAAACTGCTGTATACTTATAGCTGCTATAATGTGATAGCAGCAACTTGTTTCACAGATGTTCAACATCACATGTAACTATAAATGGATAAAATGTATGATATCATTCTACAATGAATAAAGAAATGTAATTGCTGGCAAACTGCTGTGGTATAAGCAGAATAAAACACTTCTGGATGCACTGTCATAGGAAAATAATTAACTTTAGGGTGGTAAAAGTAACTCAACTTCACATCGGGGTGCCTCAGCTTCACACCAGATTATCGTTGATTGTTTGTCTATAACAGCATGTCCCCAAGTTTTTATTCTTTGGTTATTGGTGGTTCTTGCAGTCATATTTCCATCTCTGACTTATGAAAATTCAACACAAAGTCAAAGCTCTTCAACAAAGCTCTTTCATCTCTATTCTAATCACTGGAGTGCATTTATAGGCATGGCGCCTGATCTGACTAAAAAAAATAAACATGTCTTCTTACTTTGTGTCATGAGTGTTAAGTGTAATAGCTAATGTTTGTTGCATCAAGGAGAAGTGTTATGACTTGATCTGCCTCCAGCTTAATCAAGGGCTCAGCGAGCGCAAATATATTCAAAGACATAAAAAAAAAAAAGATGTCTAGATTTTGGCTAGTGAGAGAGGTTTTTCTTTTGAGGACACAGAAAAGATGACTTGAGGCTATATGTAATATTTTGAACTTAATATAGACCAAAATAGGACATCTCTTTAGGGCTCGTTTTTGTTTTTATTTTATTTTGCACTGGTTTGTGGGGTGTGAGAGAGGAACACCGAGCATAAAAAGTAAGGGAGACTACATTAGTGAGATATTTGAGATTTTATATACAATCATGGGATAAATTGGAACGCCTTTACCACCCATACATCACTGGGTCTTTTTTTCAGTCTTTAACGGTCTACTGGTGAGCCCGTGCCAGTTGTAATTTCAGACTCCTGTTCTTAGATTCCAGGAGTGGAACCCAATGTTGTTGTAGCCTATCCACCTCAAGGTTCAGAAAAGCCTTCTGAGATGTTTCTGAGATGCTTTGTCACCCGTTGCTTTTCTGCACCATGAGGTGGATGGACTACAACAACATTGGACAAAGCATTCTGAGATGCTTTTATGCTCAACACGTTTGTAAAGAGCTGTTATTTGTGTTACCATAGCCTTCCTGTCAGCTTGAACCAGTCTTCGACTCTGACCTCTCTCATCAACAGGGTGTTTCCACGTTTTTTTGTGTTTGTTTGTTTTTCACCCTATTCTGTAGAAACCCTAGAGACTGTTGTGCATGGAAGTATCAGGAGATGTGCAGTTTCTGAAATACTCAAAACAGCTTGGCACCAACACCCATGCCACTGAGTCACTGAGATTATACGTTTCATCATCTGGATGTAGCTCAAGTGGTTAAGATGTTGGAATACTGATCAGAAGGTTGTGAGTTCAAACCTCAGCACTGCCAAGCTACCACTGCTGGGCCTTTGAGCTGGGCCCTCAGCTGTATAAATGAAGTAGATAAATAAGTCACTCTGGATGAGGGTGTCTGCTGAATGCTGTAAATGATGGATGTGATATGATTTCAATCGAGTTATTAATCCATAGGCCTCAACTGAAATTAAAATCTTATTTTTAAACAGATTTTCTTGATGCCTAGTTTGGCACTTGTGCCTAGTTTGATGCCTACTTTGGTGCTTGTGTAAAATAGCCTGTTTTCCTGTAGGAGGCGCTTTTCTATAAACCCTGTGAGTGTTGTCGGACTGCAGTAGTCTCTCCGGTAGTCCCTGCTGTCGCAGTTCCTAAGTGAAGAGAAAGAAGTTAAGGATATCTGTTCACTGGAATTAGCTGAGATTAGGAAGAGAAGAATGCCATACCTGAAGCAAGTTTTTCTTTTAGCTGCTATGCGCTGGTTTGTGTGGTGTGAGACAGAAGCAGCACAAAGCCGAAAAAGTAAGTGTCAGACGGTACGTTAGGGAGAATGTTGAGATGTTACTCTCTGTGGGCTGCTTGTAGAACATCAGAGCTGGGGTTACATTTCCGAGCGTCAGGATCAGTTGGCTGTTTCACTGTATTTATGTCGGAAATATTCCTGGCGACTTTATCAAGCTCTTTTTGTCACTTTATCATGAAAGGCGCACTTTTTTATGAAGGAGATTATGATAAAAGTCATCAGCTGACGGGTAGGCTGTGATCCTCAGTGCTGAATCCTCAGTGCTGAGTTTCAGTGTTATTTCTGAGCTTATTTTCTGTCTCGTGTGTGCAGTGTCCTGCACGTTTAAGGAGAAGACCTACAGCCCAGGAGACAGCTGGCATCCTTATCTAGAGCCGTTTGGGTTCATGTTCTGCATGCGCTGTTCTTGCACTGAAGTATGTACTGTACTCCCAATTAATTACAGTGAATCCTTTTTCAATTTGATATACTTTGTGAGTGTGTGTGTGTGTGTGTGTGTGTGTGTGTGTGTGAGTAAGTAAACTGGATTAGATTTGTCTCCATATTCTTTCTGTCTGTCTCTCATGCATCTCTGATCCTTCCAAGTCTGGCCATGTGAAATGTAACCCCATCAAATGCCCAGCTCTGCGCTGTGACAATCCAGTGACCGACTCACAACAGTGCTGCCCACGCTGTGCAGGTACACACACACACACACACACACACACACACACACACACACACACACACACACACAATATCTATCTATCTATCTATCTATCTATCTATCTATCTATTTATGTACTGGTTAACTATCTACAGGTAGAAAGAAAGATAGATAGATAGATAGATAGATAGATATACAGATGTGTGAAACAAACATAAATAACAAACATTTTACCATAAAATACAAGAGACAATGTATTATCAGATTACTAAAAAAAAGTATCCCTCAACCTATTTATCTATCTATCTATCTATCTATCTATATATCTACTGGTTAACTATGTATAGACAAACAGACTGATGGAAAGAAAGATATCTGTTTGTCTATATAGATGTGTGAAACAAACTTTTAATATAAAATACAAGAGAAAATGTATAATCAGATTAGTAATAAAAGTGAAGATGACTCTCTAACTTGTGCCATACTGCTCATTAATATCTATCTATCTATCTATCTATCTATCTATCTATCTATCTATCTATCTATCTGTCTGTCTGTCTGTCTGTCTGTCCATGCATCCAGCCATCTATCTATCTATCTATCTATCTATCTATCTATCTATCTATCTATGTATCTATCTATCTGGCTGGCTGGCTGGCTGTCATCTCCCCATCCATCCATCCATCCATCCCTCTATCTATCTATCTATCTATCTATCTATCTATCTATCTATCTATCTATCTATCTGTCTGTCTGTCTGTCTGTCTGTCTGTCTGTCCATGCATCCATCCATCCAGCCATCTATCTATCTATCTATCTATTAGCTGGTTAACTATTTATAGATAGATAGATAGATAGATAGATAGATAGATAGACAGAAAGACAAATAAAATATGAGAGACAATGTATAAAATTCAGATTACTAATAAAACTGAAGAAAATGCTGTAACTGCTCATTAATATCTATCTATCTATCTATCTGTCTATCTATCTATCTATCTGTCTATCTATCTATCTATCTATGATAGACTGTTTTCAGCAATGCTGCTTGGATGAGCAGTGAGACTCTCTTCATGTCGTGTGCAGCACAGACGCCATTAGGATTTTTATAGGAGTCGTCTGAATGCCTTTAATATTATTCATGTGACATGGTTAGTTTTATGTGACGCCTCGTCTCAGCTGGCTCTGTCATTTTATGGTTCGTATCTCAGTAGTGACAAGTTATACTCACTTTATTATAATACATGGAAGGCTTTGAGTTTACACCGTGTGTACAAATGCTGCCACTCTGAACTGATTATCAGGCAGAGGAGGAAATTAAAGAGCAGTACAGTACACGTTACAGAGTCTTCTTCACTTTCATTAGTCGTCTGATTTTCTGCCTGTCTATCTGTCTATAGATAGTAAACCAGTAAATGAATGGATGAATAGATAGATCTTCATGTATATTTTTGAATGTTTCCATTTTCTATGAATATTCTATGCACCGCTGTGCTCTGGCACAGATGAGCAGAGGCCCCCTGCAGGTTTGAGGGCTCCCGTTAAAACCTGCCGTTACAATGGAACCACATACCAAATGGGCGAGACGTTCACTAATCACGACCTGTTCCCATCCCGACAGTCCAACCAGTGTGTTATGTGCACATGCTCTGTGAGTGATTGCATGTTTTACAATGCTTTTTTCCCTACATTCCTTTTATGCACGTAAAACACATCCTTGCCTTTGCTTTTATATTTTAAAAACCAGACTGATTTTTTTTACCATCATTTACAATTGCAAGCATGCCATGATTAATATAATTCATTATATTATCTCATTATCTCATTAATATAAGATTCTGTCTGGTACTTTGGTCAAAAATAAGTTAACTACATAAACCTCATGACTAGGGGATACCTGTGGTGTTATTATTATTATTATTATTATTATTATTATTATTATTATTATTTTTAGTTTTTTGATGCAATATGTGAAGAACAAACCATTCTGTGCTGTTATAGAAAAATAATCCTAGAATATTAATGTAATTAAAATAATAATAATAATGTTATAGGAAAAAAAAGTAGATATGTTGGAATTTGTGTGACTGCCCTGATGTTGAATATTTTGTCTATAACATCACCTCGCAAAGTGTTTTATTCTTCTCATTCCACAGCAATTTGAATTTTTTTATTCATGAAAGAATAAAACTTCATAATATTTATGTTACATTTAATGTGTGAAAGATTAAATGTAACATAAACAAGTTTTTTCTTGTAATCACTTTCATTATCATTTTCATTATTCAGCAGCTATAAACAGTCACTCCCACAGCAGCCTCCTTTCCCTCTCTCGCTTTTATTAAGTTAATAAGACGAAAAATGCAGCTTATCATATTACTGAGAAACCGCGAAGTGCAAAGTTGTCTGTCCTCAAGACTTTCCTGTGGGGGGGGGGAACTTACAGCCTTACAATCTGACTGTTACAAAGCACTAGCACAGGAGGCTCGTTCCGTAAATGTTAAATAAATCTCTTCTTACAGAAAAATTCACCATATCAAAAATTACATGTGCTTTTTTTTAAAAATCCATTTATGTGGCGTGTCCACCATATAAGTCCCTGTGTAAGTTGTTACTGTAGAAATGATAACTTATTAGGATGCGTGTTTGTGGCTCTTGCTGAGCTGCAGATTTGAATTGTTGAATGTAGATTTCAGTACTTTAGAGTTTTGCTAGCCGGAATCAACATTTTGATGCTCCAACAGCTCTTTACCCAGAGACGATTTATAATACCAAGGTCAGGATGTAATGCAGTAAAATGAGGATTACATCAGTTTACTTTAGTGTGTCTATATTGTCACTTGTCTCTCTTTTCTTTCCTGGCCTTCAAGGGTGGAAATATTTTTTGTGCACTGAAAACCTGCCAGCCCATCACATGCTCTTCACCCATCTCTGTCCCAGATACATGCTGCTTTATTTGCAAAGGTGATCATTATTACGATTAAGTTGTGTTCATTTAATTCGTATTAAGTATGTCTTATTTATTGATTTTCTGTAAATTTGGCACATTAGTACTTGCAGTTTTCAAGCAGATTTAAGGAGGCAATGTGACTCTTGTTTCTCTGACATGATCAGAGGGTCCACCTGACAATTCATATGACGACGGAGGACAGCAACTGAACCGAGGAGTAGTACGTATTCTTGTTATTTAATAGCTTGTTATTTGTTCGCTAATAGTGCATCGTTACTTAGGCATAATAAATTATCCACAGTGTAGTATGTGTTGATTCCAGGCCAATCAATTACCAGAAAAAATGGATGTCAACCCCTATCATTTATCATTTAGCTATTACTCAGCTCTGCATAGCCTGCTGATCTGCTGTATGATTTCCCAGTGAAATTTAAGACTATGCATACGTCACAGCATGCATACAGTAGAACAGGGGTCTTCAATCTTATCCACAAAGAGCCGGTTTGAGCCACACTTGTTTAATCAGTTCAGCTTAGTCTCCCATCAACTATCAAGTGTTCCTCCAATTTGGCTGAAATGAAAACCTGCAGCCACACAAGGCTTTTGCAAATAAGATTGAAGAACCCTGCAGTAGAGAGTCAGCATGAATGATTTTAAATACAAGAGATGGATGGATGGATGGATGGATGGATGGATGGTTGGGAATAAAAGCAGTTAACAACCATAAAACAGAATGATATAAAGCTATGCAGTGGTGTAAAGATTTAAATGGGAGAACAAAACTTCACATACTTGTGTCCAAGACTCAATTTAAAGAAATGTTTTGAATGTTTTTAAGCACATTCAGTTTTGTTAAAATTAGCTGTGCTGTGATGGGGAGACTCAGTTAGAAAGTGGAAGTTGGCTATGAGTCATTTAC